AAGAATTGGTCAAATTCATGTTAAATTCAAGTAGAACTTGCCTAAATAATTCCGCCTGAGGTAATCCTCCATCCTATCTTGGCCCTCCACTTGAAGGAAAGCGAGGACCTCCGCGAAACGTTGTTCAAAAGTGTGTAAGTCCTGTATTACTAGAAGATCTTTTAATCTCCTCTTCACTTGGCCGCGTAGCCGAGGCTGAAATAAGATGATTGGTGCTGAAAAGATATTAGAATTGTATGCGACTAACTTCAACAAATTTGTTCGCGTTTCTTTGCCACGTTCTGTCGATGTGCCATCTGCAGTAATGCAACTGGGCACGCGAATTCGGGAAAACCGAACGAAAGCCGTTGTAGAAAGACGGTGCTTCGTCGGTCACAATTTGAAGGGGGTTGAAATCGGGGACTAAGTTCCGGATCTCGAGGAAAAGTTTTTCCACATCTACTGAGGTCATCGTTCCGCTCAGTAGGAATGCTCAAATAGTGCGTGTTCACTTTAGATTATTTCATTGAAGTCTTTAATATCAGATACCTGCTGGAACGCCGGCATCTCTTTCATTCAGCACCATCACTGTCGCCAACTTGAGGTTGTAACGCGTGGCGTTGTGGGTGTCATCAACCGAAATTCCTCTATGAGAGAATTTCTGCAGCCATTCCACTTGTTGGGGTGTAATGATGACTGAAAATAATTTTTTAAGTGTGCAAATTCATGACAACCTAGGTGATCCTCACTCAGTCGGAATCCTTCTCCTGTAGGGTTTACAGGCATCTCGAAGAGACGAATGCCATCGTCTGGATTCTTCTCTTTCGCCCGTTGCTCCAAGGACAGCATATCATCCTTGTGACGATATCCAGGTCTTAGACCGAAACGATTTGCAATTCTCCAAAGGTCCCCTTTGGTAACAAAATGCAATCTCGAAGTTTTGGCGGGGTAGTCCTTCCTGAGCCGCCTTATGATGTACTCGTGAGAGTACTCTGAAAATGAATATTAAGGCGAATATCTAGCTACATCGCGTAACACACCTTCTAAAAGTCCTTTCAGGAAAAGTTGCTGAGCCGCAGTTAGGCGTAGGAGGGCAGACTCGATTGTATGGCCGACATGGCCCAAGCAGCCCTTGACGCTTACAGCACCGTTCTCCTCTACCTTAACGTTAAGGAAACAGGAGCAGTGCAGAACGTCCCTCTTTGTGTGTGTGGCTCTAGTGTCGGTCTCCTTAGTGTACTTTCCCGCTCTATTGCATCTATAAACAAGTAATTACACTGCAGGCTCATATGCTCATAAGTAGGAAGACAAATTATCGCACCTTAAACTTGCGGTGCCTTTAGACTTTGAGCTGTCTCGCGTATAAAAACTTGTTCCACCATGTTCTTGTTGCTCTTCTAGCCACGCCTAGGATGTACTATTTGCAAAGGATAGAGCATTAGATTAGAAAAAATAGAAAAATGGCATCTTAATCTTGCAGACTCACGTCATACTCTCGCTTTGTTTCGAAAAAGAGCGTAAAAACTGTGTAGTCCTGCGGCTCTCCACCTGCTCCGTCTTCAGCATGTTCCTCCTGACAGTGCATCGCAAAACGCTCGTGATTGTCAAAGCGCTCCTCACAAAGTGGGCAAGATACGAATTCCTTTTTAACAGGTGCTTCGCGTCTTACGCTAGCCTTTATTTCATCAATTTGTTCGGTGGTGTAGTAGTGCACTACGCGAAGATGGGAATAAATATTCTTCCGCATCAACACCTTCCCGCAATGTGAACACGTCCATAAAGTGCTTGAGTGCATAGCTTTCTGACAAAGTAATTTTACAGATTTCAGTTCGATTTATGAAAAATCGGAGCAATGAAGACAATTGAGATAGGCATAAAGGAAACTAGAGATACAGAGATATAAAAGGTCTGACTCTATGTAAAGAATTGAAGCAGCACGCAGCTTGCGACATGGTTTCATAACAGCGAGCTAAATCAGCTGTACCATCGCATTTCTACATCTCCTGGTAGGACCAGCTTGCTGGTCTAGAAATGACGGCGCCTACTGTAGACATTCAAAGTAGGGTGAGCCTTGATGGGTAGAGAAGTCAACATCGATATTGCTCTCGAAATCATAGCAGTGGGTTCGCTCTTCAGAATTGAGTGACTACCTCTGCTAGACCCGATAACAAATCGAAAATGAGGTGTGGTGGGAGAGAATACACTGAGAAGATGATGAAAAGTCAATGAAGTGGAACTGGTTACTCATAAGAGCCGCCTAAAGTATGATTTGGTGCGAACGAAAAGGGAACGATAAAGAACGCATAATCACGAGGAAAAGTTTGGACAAGCCCACTTTGCACTCCAGACGCTTCACAGGTTCCAAAGTGCTGCATGAAGACATGCTTAGAGAAAAAAAATTCGGAAGGGCTTGCAGGTTGCCAACTGCTTTATGAGATATATTGATTTTTCTATTGAGAATAAGTTCCAAACCTATATAATATGATCCCTGAACACCCTCCAAGCTTCCTTGCGGTTATATCCTATAGTGAATCAAACCGTTTTGCTTCAAAGAAATATTGAGTCTAAATAAGCATAATAAAAACTCACGTATGTAGTTTTCACGACGCTGCTGTATCAGCCAGACACAGGAAGAAAATACTGTTAGCGTCAGCAGTTGAACCGCTAAGCACAACAGTGAAGAAAGGAATAGAATTACTGGATAGATCGAAGTGAATGGAACAATAATTAGTAGCAGACCAGTGACCAGTGAATAGACTTAGCCGTA